AGGATAGAGGAGGAGGAGGAGGAGGAGGAGGAGGAAGAGGAGGAGGAGGAGGGAGGAGGAGAAGAGGGAGGAGGAGGAAGGAGGGAGGAGGAGGAAGGAGGGAGGAGGGAGGGTGGAGGAGAGCGGTGCCCAAGCCCAGGAAGACGAAGCCAGGACGAGGACAACCTCGGGAGAGGATGCACCGAGCACCTCTGCGATCCGGCGGCTCTGGAGGATGCCTCGGGCGCCGCGCCGCGCCCCTTTCTCTGAGCGCTCCGGAGCGCTCTGGCACGGATCTGTCCTCCTCCGCGCCCCGTCCGATGCCTGCCCCCGCGCCTCGCGGGCACGCGCGCGCGCGCACGGGGGCCGCCGCTGATGCCTGGCGGCGGCCCGCTGCGTCCGCACCGGCGGCATCCGGCGCGGCCTGCGGCAAGAAGTGAAGGGGCCCCAGAACACACAAATAAATACACACAAATAAGAATATCCCCCATGTTTTCCCATATTTTCTGGGTTTCTGTCGTCCCCCCCAATGCCCATAGTTTCCCATATTTTCTGGGGAATCGACGATTCATTGTGTCTGTGTGCTTTTGCCCCTCCTGAAGAAGAGGACGAGGCGCGGAGGGGCCACCATCGAAGGGCAGGAGCCGGGAGAGCAGGGCTTCTGCCCGCGGCCGCGCGGCGGAGCGCCCGCGGAGCTCCCCAGCTCGTCGGCCCCTGCTCGCGGCGGGCGCGCTATAAGGGGACGCCAGGAGCACACGCGCGCAGAGGCCGAGCGCCGGAGGGGCCCTCGCAGTGCCCAGTTCGCTCTCTGCCGCACGGTCGGGGGCGGCCTCTCTCCGCGCCGGCCGGAGCAGCAGCCGCCCGCCCGCCCACGTCCGAAGTTCTCTTCCGCCGGTGCGAAGGGAGGGCCCACAGGTGCCAAGCCGCGGGAAGAGCGAGTCCACTCACGACAGAGTTCGCGTCGAATACCTCCTGAGATGAACGACCGCCTCCAGTCGACCACCAAGACACTCGGCTGACCTGTCTGTCTGCCTCATCCTCATCCTCTACCTCCTCCATCCCCCATTTGCCTCCCTCCCTGCCTCCCTCATGCTCTTCATCATCCACCCTCATCCAGCAACCCCAGCGTTATGCTCCTGGTCATGACTCCTCACCATCATCAACACCCCTACTCATGTTTCTTCTCCTCGGTCCGCCTTCTCATTATACTTGCTTCGCCTCCCTCTCTCCCGGGCCATCATCCCTCCTTCTCCTCCAGCCCCCTCCTCCCTCCGATTCCTCTGACTTCTCCACCTGACGCTGACGCTGGTGGCGGCTACGATGTGGCATCTGGCACCAACGTCGTCTCCAACTCCTCCTGATCATGATATTCATCAGCCGCAGCAGCAGCATCATCATAATCATCATCATCAGCATCCTCATCATCACCATCACCACAATCATCATCATCATCATCATCATCATCAGCAGAATCAGCATCATCGTCAGCAGCAGCACCACCACCACCATCACAACAACAACGACATCGTAGCCACTACCAGCCGCATCAGCATTGTCATCGTAATCGTCATCATCTCATCTCGCCTCAGGTGTCCTTCTCTAAAAACCCTCCCCTGCCCACGATGCTCCCCTCTGCCATCATCAGTAGCAGCAGCATCAGCTTCAGAATCAGCAGCGGCAACGTATGTTTATGTTCAGCGCCATCACCACAACAACCACCATCAATGCCATCACCACCACCATCTGGCCGCATCGTCGGCATCATATCCCCGCCCGTTACTTCCAAACACTTCCGTCCTCCGTTGCCCACCTGATCGTCAACCTGCTGATCCGCTTCTCCTGATCACCATCATCCTCGCACTCATCCTCATCATCGTGCTTACCATCCGCATAGTCGTAATATTACATCACCCATTCCTCCTGCTACATTGGCCCAACGAAAAATCCGCGGGTTTTCGTCACGACGCTCGCTCGCGGAAGCCGACGGCAGTAAAACGCGGCGGAAGACGGCGGAAGTCCGTCGGACGGCTTGCGGAAGACAGCGGGAGCGAATGGCGCCCCGTCCGGACCCCCTGCCCCCCCGTAGAAGCCTAACAATGTAATATTCTGCCGTGGGCCGGGCGGGATCCCGCCCAACTTACTCCCCTCGAATGTAATAATTTTAATTCGACTGAAACTCCACCCATTGGGGATGTGGAAAACAAACATCCCGGGCCGTTCACGGATCCCGCCATGCTGGGATCGGCTCGGAGTAAGATGGGGCTCCGAAGTTGCAGCATTCCTGGCATGTCAGGGTCGTCTTGAGGTCATCTTGAGATCGTATCTCGGTCATGCTTGGATTGCGCAGCCGTCGCGTGTTCATTATGGGGCCACCCTGGGCGCGCGTGGATCCATCTTGTTGCCATCGGGCCATCTCGGCTTTACTCGTGGCTCATGTAATTGGTCCTTTTCAGTTCGGCCTGAGACGGGCCAGAATCAATGGCGGGATCGTGTTGGGGTGGCGTCATCCCAGGGTCGTCTGGACGTTATCGTCTGTGGCCTCAGGCCCTTCTGGAACCATTTTGTGACCATGGGGACGTCTTGGGATCTCGCGCGTGCGAGCGCTGAGCACGCGCGAGCGACAACTCATCTCGCAGATGGGCGTACACACAGATACTTCTTGTTGCGAGTTTCCAAGGAAAACTTTTGTTGGAACCAAATAGTGGTCCCTGTGATCCGTTGTTCGCCTCCCCTCCTCCTCCACTCGTCCGCCTCATCCTCTCCCGTTCCTCTCTTGTTTCTCATCTTCATGCACCTCCTTCTCCTCCTCTCCCTCTGCCTTCTGTACGTCATCATTCGCATCACAGGTCACAGCGGAGTCATCCACCTCATCCTGCTCTTCGTCGATATCCTCCTCACCTTCACCATTTTACACCTCCAACCTCCTCACCCTCACTTTCCGCATACCCATCGTCCTGACCCCCCTCCTCCTCACAATAATCCTCACCCTCCTCATACGTATCCTCTTAACCTCAGCACGGTGATCATAGGCATCGTCTTCAAAATCCTCAATTTCGTCATCATCAGCGTCATCGCCATTAGCGTCATCACCGCTACCATCATCAAAATCATGATCGTCGTCATCACTCGCATCAGCAGCATCACCACCATAAGCCATATAATCATCGTCAACAACCACATCAACCCACCATGATCACTATAGTCGTCTCCCCCAGAAGTACCCTCATCTTCATCATGCGTAGCATCCTGGCCCTCGGTGGCCCTCTCCTCATCCGCCACCACATGTGGACCCCACGACATGTTCCAAGCGAATCCCCCACCCCTTCTCCCTTATTGAAGCATAATCCTGCTGTACCACCTAGCCGACCGATAGCGCCCCCGTCAAGGCCCTCCCATCACACATGCGGAAACAAACAACGCCAATTTGCGCTCAATCATAATTGACGTGCTATCGTAGCGCAACATGTGTAGCAAGAAGGGGACGCGGCGCTCATCCTGCGCGAGATGGAAAAATGTTGCTCACGATTCGGCGCCGCGCTCATTGTCCTCAGAACTGAACTCCCGCCCGGGTGCTACGCGCACTTGTCGTTCGCTGTTGTCGCTGTCGTTGGCTAGTTCGCACTGGCAGCTCGCTCGAATGCGTCTGCTCATCGTCATACTTCCCAGGCTGCTGATTTTTTCACGGCCGCCACATTCACAATCAGCATCAGATTCAGCATCAGATGCAGAATCATCACATTTCGCACGCTTGCGCTTGCGAAATGTGTGTGAAGCGCCGCTGCGCAGAGTACTGCGCTGGCTCGAGGGCCGTTGCGTCGTCGGGCTTTGTAGCAACTCCAGAGATAACTGCTCACACTTTGGCCCCGACATTCTGACCCTCTGAGCACCTTAAAAATGCGCGTTGCATGCTGGCGGGCGTGGCATTGGTAGCATGAAGAAGATGGAGAGGATGAGGAGAGAGCAAAGAGGAAACGGGGTAAGGACAATAACGAGGGGCAAAGGATGAGGAGCAGCAGGCAATGAGTAAAAAAATGAACCAGCCAGTCCAGACAAAAAGTCCTCACGTGGGCCTCACGCGGGCTGCAACAGCGCAGCTGCGCCACAGCAAGTTCGCGGCTCGCGGCGCTTTCAAAGTCAAAATTAAAACCCAGAACTGGTTCGAAGCTTCGAGCCTCGAAAAAGACTCCCAGGATCCTCCTCCCTCCCCGTCACCCTCCCCAAAGATCTCAAGCAAAATTGGGAGGCAACATGGGAAGCGGCCGTTGGAACGCAGAAGACACTGGGCAGCAGGAGCGGACTCTCCAGTCAGAACAGAACTCTGTCCAGCTCAAACTGTAATCCCATGGTCAAGTACTAGATGGCCGCCCCGTACGCAGGGTTCATGACCCTTCCGAATCTCTGCCCCAGAATTGAAGTATCTCTGCGCCCCAGCCTCACGCACAGGCGGTCGAAAGAATAACCGCGATGATGGCTGCGGTCATGGTCGGCTCTCCGACGCCTGAGGCACTCTCGATGTCTGGTGCCGGCGTCGGTGAGGGGGTCGACGGGGTGCACTCAAGCCACTTGCGCGTCTCGCCGGAAACGGTGGAGTCCAGGGCCTGGTTGCAATTGGAACCGCCCTGTACGTAGCACCAACTCTGATTCCAGTCCGCCGTGGCGCTGCAGCCCTCGTACGACTCCATAACCCCGTCGGCATCACCATCGTAGTTCCACTCCGTCATGCAATTGCAGGAGCCGCACTCGCGCCACTTGCGCGTCTCGCCGGCCACGGTGGAGTTCAGGGCCTGGTTGCAGTTGGAGCCGCCCTGCACGTAGCACCAGCTCTGGTCCCAATCCGCCGTGGCGCTGCAGCCCTCGTACGACTCCATAACCCCGTCGGCATCGCCATCGTAGTTCCACTCCGTCATGCAGTTGCAGGAGCCGCACTCGCGCCACTTGCGCGTCTCGCCGGCCACGGTGGAGTTCAGGGCCTGGTTGCAGTTGGAACCGCCCTGCACGTAGCACCAGCTCTGGTCCCAGTCGGCCGTGGCGCTGCAGCCCTCGTACGACTCCATAACCCCGTCGGCGTCGCCATCGTAGTTCCACTCCGTCATGCAGTTGCAGGACCCGCACTCGCGCCACTTGCGCGTCTCGCCGGCCACGGTGGAGTCCACTGCCTGGTTGCAGTTGGAGCCGCCCTGCACGTAGCACCAGCTCTGGTCCCAGTCGGCCGTGGCGCTGCAGCCCTCGTACGACTCCATAACCCCGTCGGCATCGCCATCGTAGTTCCACTCCGTCATGCAATTGCAGGAGCCGCACTCGCGCCACTTCCGCGTCTCGCCGGCCACGGTGGAGTTCAGGGCCTGGTTGCAATTGGAGCCGCCCTGCACGTAGCACCAGCTCTGGTCCCAGTCGGCCGTGGCGCTGCAGCCCTCGTACGACTCCATAACCCCGTCGGCATCGCCATCGTAGTTCCACTCCGTCATGCAGTTGCAGGAGCCGCACTCGCGCCACTTGCGCGTCTCGCCGGCCACGGTGGAGTCCAGGCCTGGTTGCAATTGGAACCGCCCTGCACGTAGCACCAGCTCTGGTCCCAGTCGGCCGTGGCGCTGCAGCCCTCGTACGACTCCATAACCCCGTCGGCATCGCCATCGTAGTTCCACTCCGTCATGCAGTTGCAGGAGCCGCACTCGCGCCACTTTCGCGTCTCGCCAGCCACGGTGGAGTCCAGGGCCTGGTTGCAGTTGGAACCGCCTGCACGTAGCACCAGCTCTGGTCCCAGTCCGCCGTGGCGCTGCAGCCCTCGTAGGACTCCATAACCCCGTCGGCATCGCCATCGTAGTTCCACTCCGTCATGCAGTTGCAGGAGCCGCACTCGCGCCACTTACGCGTCTCGCCGGCCACGGTGGCAGGGCCTGGTTGCAGTGGAACCGCCCTGCACGTAGCACCAGCTCTGGTCCCAGTCCGCCGTGGCGCTGCAGCCCTCGTACGACTCCATAACCCCGTCGGCGTCGCCATCGTAGTTCCACTCCGTCATGCAGTTGCAGGAGCCGCACTCGCGCCACTTGCGCGTCTCGCCGGCCACGGTGGAGTTCAGGGCCTGGTTGCAGTTGGAACCGCCCTGCACGTAGCACCAGCTCTGGTCCCAGTCCGCCGGCGCTGCAGCCCTCGTACGACTCCATAACCCCGTCGGCATCGCCATCGTAGTTCCACTCCGTCATGCAATTGCAGGCCGCACTCGCACACTTCTCGAGTCTCCGCCGCGCGTCATGGTGCTTCAACTTCCGCGTCTCGCCGGCCACGGTGGAGTTCAGGGCCTGGTTGCAGTTGGAGCCGCCCTGCACGTAGCACCAACTCTGGTCCCAGTCCGCCGTGGCGCTGCAGCCCTCGTACGACTCCATAACCCCGTCGGCATCGCCATCGTAATTCCACTCCGTCATGCAGTTGCAGGAGCCGCACTCGCGCCACTTGCGCGTCTCGCCGGCCACGGTGGAGTTCAGGGCCTGGTTGCAGTTGGACCGCCCTGCACGTAGCACCAGCTCTGGTCCCAGTCCGCCGTGGCGCTGCAGCCCTCGTACGACTCCATAACCCCGTCGGCATCGCCATCGTAGTTCCACTCCGTCATGCAGTTGCAGGAGCCGCACTCGCGCCACTTCCGCGTCTCGCCGGCCACGGTGGAGTTCAGGGCCTGGTTGCAGTTGGAGCCGCCCTGCACGTAGCACCAACTCTGGTCCCAGTCGGCCGTGGCGCTGCAGCCCTCGTACGACTCCATAACCCCGTCGGCATCGCCATCGTAGTTCCACTCCGTCATGCAGTTGCAGGAGCCGCACTCGCGCCACTTGCGCGTCTCGCCAGCCACGGTGGAGTCCAGGGCCTGGTTGCATTGGAACCGCCCTGCACGTAGCACCAGCTCTGGTCCCAGTCCGCCGTGGCGCTGCAGCCCTCGTACGACTCCATAACCCCGTCGGCATCGCCATCGTAGTTCCACTCCGTCATGCAGTTGCAGGAGCCGCACTCGCGCCACTTCCGCGTCTCGCCGACCACGGTGGAGTTCAGGGCCTGGTTGCAGTTGGAACCGCCCTGCACGTAGCACCATCTCTGGTCCCAGTCCGCCGTGGCGCTGCAGCCCTCGTACGACTCCACAACCCCGTCGGCATCGCCATCGTAGTTCCACTCCGCCATGCAGTTGCAGGACCCGCACTCGCGCCACTTCCGCGTCTCGCCGGCCACGGTGGAGTTCAGGGCCTGGTTGCACTCGGAACCGCCCTGCACGTAGCACCAGCTCTGGTTCCAGTCGGCCGTGGCGCTGCAGCCCTCGTACAACTCCATAACCCCGTCGGCATCGCCATCGTAGTTCCACTCCGTCATGCAGTCGCAGTCGCCGTTTCCGCCTATCACGCAACTGACCAAGGCCGCGCAAAGGACGGCTGCCAACTCCATGACGATTGGTTTGGCCATCGGTACCCGCGCGCCTATGGGGATGGCAAATTGGATCGCGAGGACAGCGTCGCAACTTTTTCGACTGAGCCAAATTTGCTTGAGCCAAAATGGCTACGGATCATGCTTCCCAGGCTGCTGAAGGACACGCCACTGCGAGCTGGGTGAACCCCGAGCCCCAGCGGCAGTGCCTGCAGCAGCCGCGCACCGCAACCGATGCGCCGTCCCAGCACGCTTCTGACTGGACCCCTTCCCAGGGTCCGGACGCACTTGAAGGGGCCCTGGGACGCACAAATAAATACACACAAATAGCATGATTCCCCATAGTTTCCTACATTTTCTAGGTTTTCGTCTTCCCCCCACTTCCCATAGTTTCCCATATTTTCTGGGGAATGGACGATTACTTGTGTCTGTGTTTTTTACCTCCTGAGCACTGATTTTCAGAGCCGCGTCCAGCCGCGGCGACGAGGGGCCTCGTCGAAGGCCAACTGCCGGTGTCTCGACCCGCCCTCCTCTGAGACCCTGGGGCGCCGGCCCGGGCCGCTGCCAAGTGGGGAGAGGGAGGGAGCAGATGAAGCACAAACCGCATAAGCATAAGCTCTTGGAGACCCGCGCGGATTTCTTGGATCTGCGGTGGTACCCCCTCCTTGGCGCGAGCGCGCCAGGGCGGCGCCAGAGGCGCCGCCCTGGGGGCTCCAGCGCAATTCCAAGAAATCATCGCGGAGCGCGCTCTGGGGAAACCACCAAGTACCGATACCGTACCCCTTGGACCTCTCCTGGGATGCGTTCTGACCAGAATCTCGAGGCGAATCCGGCGGTGCCGAAGGGAGCCTCCCAGGAGGCCCAAAAAAAGGGAAACGGCCAAAGGGTAGCGGTATAGGTTCCTTTCCTCCTCCGACTTTCATGCCATGCCAGGTAATCAGCTTTGTTCGTTCTCGTTTTGTTTTCGTGCTCCTTCGTTCTGTCTTCGTTGTGCCTTTGCTGCGAAACGAAATCAAAACGAAAATGGCCCACGACATCGCCAATAACACCGTTTAGCTCCAGCCCTGCGGCTTTTTCTTCTTCTTCTTCTTCTTCGAGGGAGGGAGGGAATGAAGAGGCGTTTTTTCTGTCTTAGGTTCAGGTCTGTAACCGCAGCACAAGCATTGCTATCAGAACACTTGGGCCAATCGACGTCGCGTCGACACCGAAAACAATACACAACAAAAAACATGCTTCGGATCACACCTGTATGCTTCTCTGGTGAGCTTCAGGGCAAACGCGAGAAGCGGGAAGGGGCTCGAAGCTCTTCGAGGTCCCCGGCCGTAGCCAGGTTGACGGCGTTCCGCCGGCATCAAGCTTCTTCTTCTTCTTCGAGGGAGGGAGGGAGCCTTGAGATCCAGCGCTGCAGCAAAAGCTGCACGATCGCAAAAAAAACACCACCAGAGCCCCTGACCCCATCTCTGGGGGAACGAAGAATGGCATCTGCATGTAAAAAACTCGGAGGTCCGCGCGAAGCTCCGAGTTGTGATGTCTGTGTCGTTGCTCGTTCCCCGATTCTCTCTGCGGCACGATCGCTCTATAGGATGGTCCCGGGGCCCGACATGGGGTGCCAACGCCCGCTGTGCAAAAAAAAAGAGCGCCGGGAACTCGGGGAAGTCGGCCGACGGCCGGGGCGCCCCTCCCAAGCGTGAGGGGGAGGAGGAGGAGGGAGGAGGAGGAGGAGGAGGAGGAGGAGGAGGAGGAGGAGGAGGAGGAGGAGGAGGAGGAGGAGAGGAGGAGGAGGAGAGGAGGAGGAGGAGGAGGAGGAGGAGGAGGAGGGAGGAGGAGAGGAGGAGGAGGAGGAGGAGGAGGAGGAGGAGAGGGAAGGAGAGGAGGAGGAGGAGGGGAGGAGGAGGGATGGGAAGGATGGAGGACTGGTGAGGAGAACGAGGAGGAGGAGGAGGAAGGAGGATGAAAGGAGGAGAATGGAGGAGGAGGAGGGGAGGAGAGAGGAGGAGAGGAGAGGAGGAGGAGGAGGAAGGAAAGGACGAGGAGGAGAGACGAGGACAGAAGAGCACCCGCCTCGGCCGACGGCCTCGCCCGCGGGCTGCGCCGCCGCCGCGCCGCCCGCGGCCGCCGCGGCCGCCAGCAGCGCGAGGCGCCCGCGCAGGCCCCACGGCGCCCGCGGCGCGGCCCTGCCCCGCCCCAGCTGGTGGGGGGGCGCACGGCCCCTGCCCTGCCCCTGCCCCTGCCCCCGCCCTGCCCCTGCCCCAGCTCGGGGGGGCGCACGGCCCCAACCCTGCCCCTGCCCTGCCCCGGCCCCAGCTCGAGGGGGGCGCAGAACCCCTGCCCTGCCCCCAGCTCGGGGGGGGGCCCTCTGCCGCATGTGGGCCCAATCCCAACCCACTGGGCCCAATCCCAACCAACTGGGACCAATCCCAACCAGTGCGAAAAGCAAACTGGGCCCAATCCCAACCATCTTGGGATAGCCCCACAATATGATTTTAATTGTAGAGGAGCCCAAGACGAGTGCGAAAACCAAGTGACACTCCTTATGTCAACGCAAAGGATCTGAAAGCCAACACGCGTGCTCGAGTTGGAATTGGTCTCAGTTTTGGTCTGCGCACGAGCACTACGTTAAGAT